AGTCTGAGCAGATCACAGCAATTAAAAAACAACATAAAAACAAAATACAATATTTAAAAAGACCCTATAAAATCTATATAAAAAAATATGCAACACAGTTCACAGCTGAGGTATAAAAAGCCTCCAACAACAATCAACATGACCACAGTACAGGCTCTATCATGTGCCTGAATTCCTAAGCCTAGTAGCAAAACCAAGTCTTTAAGGCCTTACTAGTAGGGTTGGGGCCAATCTGATCTCTGGGGAGAGGGCATCCAAAGGGTCACAATAGAAAAGGCTGTCTTCCTGGGCCTTGCCTGCTGGACCTAATAGGACAGGTAGATGTGGTCCCTCAAATAGCCTGGTCTCATACTTTATTAAAGGACATGCACAACTTCTCAAGACACGTAGGCAAAGAGGAATATGAAGATCTTGAATCTTGCAAGTAAATATCAAATGTGTAAAATCAGCCAAGACTCCAGCCCTAACAGAAGCAAGAAAAAAGCAGAAGACAAAAGTTCTTTAAGACTTCTTACCAGTCTTTGTTGTCCATAGGCGATCAACAACAAATCTATATTTCACCTTCTCAATAAGATTCATGAATGTTACATATATAGTATGGAATATAAACAGCATGATAGATTGCATTTGTTTCAAAAAATGATGTGGGGAAAATCAGTGAGTCATGGTAATATGCTAATCACAATAATTTTAATAACAGGTAATATTTTAACCAGGCACCTCACCTATTCACATCATGAATTCTGGTTAGCAATGCTTGTGGTGGTGGTGGTGGTGGTAAGTTTAATTCCAAAGAATTTCCATATTTGAAAACTGCTATATCCAATTTTTCCCAATTTATTTAATCATCTGGGATCAGATTATGTGGATTATGACATATCCCAGATGACTAAATAAATACTTAATTGCAATATGTGGATTTTATTTCATTTTTTTCAGTGTAACAGCAAAACAATATACAATGGTTATCTCCTATTCTTTCTGCAACGCCATTCAGCAAGGGTTAAACTACACATGGGATTACCCAGCACTTGTCACTTCTTTTAAGGGGACCCACTTTCCCCCCCTCACATGAATCATTTACAATCATATAAAGAAGACAAATAACAGCTTGATGAGTCACAGATGAAAATGTCTTTCTGAAATGTATAGGTTTCCTTTTGTCAGAAACAACAAACTGAGAGGGATTCATGGGTGGCATGAAGGTGACCTGCACTACAATGATTGGTGACAAAGAGAAGCTAAATATGTTACTCAAGCAAAAAAAACAAAAACAAAACAAAAACCAGGAAAAACAAAAGCGACCTACAGTACATATGATTCCTTCAAATATTCCTTATCTCAGCAACAGTCAGTTCTGGAGACTTTTTTTCTCTTTTCTGATATACAGGTCTGATATGCAGCACAGACATAGCATCACTATAATCTGCAACATGTTACAATCCTCATTTTCCTCCAAATGGTTTAAGGCAGTTTACCTGGTTCTTCCCTGTGACGTTGGTTAGGATGAGTGATAGCACTGAACTAGGCCCATATAGTTTTCCTGAGATCACACAGCAGCTGTGTAAGGGGAGCCATGATTCCAAGAAATGATGCAGCTATTTTAAGGAGTTGCCAACAGATACAGGTAGTCCTCGTTTAGTAACCACAATTGTGACTGGCAACTCAGTCATTAAGCAAAGTGGTCGCTAAGTGAAACCGCAATGGTGCTTATGATCTTACTTCAGCTTTCTTTGCTTTACAGACCTGTGAAAGTCATAAATGCAAGGATTGGTCACAAAGTTACTTTTTCATCATGTAACTGTGAATGGTCACTAAATGAGGACTACCTGTACTATGTGAGTGTCCCAGTGCACTCCAAAGCACCTTTTCCCTTCAGATCTGAATCAGAAGTACTACATAGTTCTGCTTTATAATGAGGATTTGAATCTAGGCCAATATTCCAATACTGAGTGGTGGACTTGCCACTAATATCAGCACAATCAGATTACTTTTTATACACAAGCAATTTTATTTTTGATTAGACGTTTGACTGCCTAGAGAGGACTGATTATTGGGTGATTTAGAAATCCATTTAATTAAAGAAAATAAATAAGAATTGCATTTTACCTTATTTAAGTGAAAGGCTATAACTCATTGGTAGTACACACATTTTAAATTTAGAAGGTTCCATATTCTTGGGCTAGAGATTACTGAGATACAGTCCAATGGCCTGATCTGATATTGAGTAGAGGAAGACTGTAGCTTAGAACTTCTGAATCTAGACTTTAAAAATTCAGATGACCAGTAGATGGCAGCAAAGTTAGACTTCTTTATGTCTTTCATGCCATCTAGTGGGTCTCTAGATTTTTGCAGCCCACATCTCATAGCCCTACTGTAGCTCAATGGTTGAACATGTTCTTTGCAGGCAAAAGATCCCAGATTCCATTTTGGACAACTTTAAATAAGGTGATAATCCTGGAGCCTGTAATCCTATCCAATAAGTGATTATATTACCCTGCAGAAATGAATGGCCTGATTTGTTATATGGCATCTTCCTATGTTACCATCCCTCTGCTACAAAAGCCTTCTGAGTTTTCTGCCCTGTTGTTTTACACTGCTATTTTAGCATCATGTCTCTGGATCCATCAACAGATAAATCTTAGAGAAGATCACATGAGGACTGCTGCCATTGAGTCCTGGTAAAATGCAAATGAGAAAATGTTTGACAGTTGCCGGTGTCATACAAGGAGAGGGTTATCACCTTTTTGGAATAGACTTTCATGAGAAATTTAAGCAGATGCAGCTTTCCACACCAGTGCATTTGATAAGGCAATTTTAAGTAGAGATAGGATAGGAGTTTGGACAGTCTGAAACCTTGGGTAAATGAAGCATGCAGGGAGGTTAAAAATGGTGCCCTGCTTGAGGTCTTCCTTGGAAAGTGTCCTGCAAACAGCCTGATCTCACTGAAAGTCTGCTTTCAGACTGGGAAGACCAATACAAATGGATTTATCTTGTTCTTGAAATGCAGCCCCTCTCTTGAGGTCTCCCGTCTCCTCCAGTGGTAAGGCTCTGTGGTCTTTTAGCAGCGGTACTCTCTGCAGGAAGATGAGCATAGCAGGTCCTTTCTGGTATATTTTCACTAATAGGAGTCCTATTTCAATTGTCTTTTTCCTTTCTTTTCTCTGATTTGCAATCTCTTCTAAATTTTTCCTCTGCTGTTTTAATCACTAAACTAATAATTTAAAACATTAAAAATTAAAAGCCTCTAGGAAATGTTGTTGTTGAATGGCTGCATCGAAATTCTTAAAATAAATTCCAGCCTTGAAAAGATAACTCATTCTTCTAAAATCAAAGATGCACTAATATTAATAGCATTAGCTTGGAAACCTTCAGAAAATGTTTTAAGGTTTATTACATTTCAGCCAGCACACAGTTTCACCTTCTAGATTCTAAAAATTTTGCTGGAGTCATGATCAGTGATATTAATGAATGAATTCATAAGTTTCTGTTATGCACCGCTTGTAACTTGGATTTTCATGGTCCATGATATAGTTCGCTCTGTCTTTTCTTTTTATGACTTATTTCACTTATTTGTCTTCTTACATTGGAGTGATGTGTCAGTTTTAGTTGGGGTTGCCAAGCCAATTATTGAAAGTAAAAGTGTGGTGTGCAATTTGAAAATAAGCCACTTTATTTTTAAATCCCACACTTCCTAAGAATTTGAAAACTAGGAAAGACCTGACGGTCATTTCCTTAAACAGTACTTGTGATGAATCAACTACTATAAGTATGACGCAAGTCCAGGTCTCAGGGAAGATCCTCACATCCTAGGCAATGACTAACTTGCCAAATTATCCTTCTTATTCACTATCACATCTTCTTGAACTACCCTGAATCATATGCAAGTGTGATTGTGTTAGCAAGACACAGCCACTGTGTCCTGAATTAACCTAGTTTCTGGAGAATCCTACACTGGGCTTCTTGACCTTTGGGCTCAGATCAAGTGCAGAGGCTCAGGCATGCTGCAAGTGGGATGGCAGCTTGCTTGCACCTGGGTAGACCTGCCCCAGGAATTTTGCTTGTCAGAATGCCAGGATCTGGTTCTCTTGTGCCTCAGACCACTTCAGCATATGGAAATGTTCTCGGAGAGGGTTACCCCGGGGCAGCGCTAGCCTGTTGCTCAGGAGGGAGCTGGCAGGCTGAAGCAGTTCCCCCTCATCCTGGGGACTTTATTCTTATGGGGGAGCCTGGTGTTTTTAAAACAGCAGTGGGGATGAAACAGCAACGAAGGCACCAAAGAACCTTGGAGGCTGACACTTACATGACAGCAAAAGCTGGGTGAATCACCGGAGCCTCATGCCCAGGGTGTAGAGCACACTCCCGGAGCGGGGTGGGCGCCAATCACCGTGGGCTGATTTACCCCAGAAAAGGCTTCTTAGCGTTTCGCTCTCCCCCTCCCCCCGTTATCTGTGCGTCCTCATCACTCAGACGGAGGGCAGAGACAAGTTGGTCAGATGCCTGGATAAGAGCATCCTTCCCGTTCACTTGTTCAGTTCTTTCCGAGATGCTTTTACCTCCCTCTTTGGGGCGGGGGGCGGGGGTGGTTTAGACTGATCCATTAAGGTCCAGAAGGGGGATCCAGCACCCAGCCGGCAAGCTCGCGGGGCCGCTCTCCTCTCCAGCAAGCCAAGGCAACCGGAGGCGGCAGGGGCGTCGACGACGACCGAGCCGAACAAAGATTAAACGTCAAACTGGGCGTGAGCTGCGGAGCCCCACGGGAAACGGCCGTCTGAGCCGGGCATCATCCCCACGGAAAGCACGTGGGCTCTTCCAGGGTAGCAGGTCTGACCGCGGGTAGCGCTTGCGCTGCTGTCTCGCTCGCTCGCTCTCTCTCTCTGCTGCTCCGAGCAGTGGCCAAACAAGCGCTTCAAGTTTGAAGGCTCTGATGCTCCAAAGAGAACTGGAGCCAGGCTTTGCCGTGCGGGGTCTCCACGGAGGACACAGTGCGACCAGCCCCGATGGATGTCATGGTAGGCGTCTGGGTTTGCCTGGCAGCTGCAAGAACAGGTAAGGGCTGAGAAGAGGTGGGGGGTCTCCGCCCCAGCCTCGCACGCGTCGGAGATGGTGGCGGCGGTGGGGGGACAGGAATGGGAAATCTGCAAAGGGGCATCTTGGTGCGAGTGGGGAGAGGCTGCCACCGCGAAAACATCTGAGTAGGAACCACCACGCAGTCGGGGTCTTTAATGCAAAGACAATAGGTAGCCGGTGCATGGTGGGGAGGATCCGCTCA